CATCAAAAATATTTACCATCAGCAAAATCTCAACATAAAAAAGATCACACTCTGACATTGGAATATTGAAAAGCTGTATGAGAGCTAGCAAATCAATTGCAAACAAATAGAAAATAAATAAATCTTCAAAGCAAAAACCACAACATATACACAAATGCAAAGCATAAATAAATGCAAAGCATAAATAAATGCAAAGCATAAATAAAGTAAATGCCAGGAAGACATGGATGGTAGTCAGGTACAGTGATATTACAGTCAATTTTTCACTTCTTTTCAATGCATCTTCCTTTATGAGAAGCATCATATGTTGTACAAATGTATGTTACACCAAAGTACCACAGTGAGAGTTCCATAAGTAATAAAAAGAAAAAGCAAAGCTTTATGTTGAATGGATGTAAAGAAAATTTTGTGACAGTGATACCCACACTAATACGTACTTTTAAGTTTGAGGTCATTAAGGTTTCATTTACATCATTAAAAGAGAGCACTGGAAATCCAGAATTCCCAGTACCCATTAATTTGTATTTCTTTTCCAGCTTTGGACAGAGCAACTCAGGCAAATTTCTTATCAAACAGGCAATTAGTAATTTCCTATGAAGCTTCATATATTTCAAGCATGAAAAGCTTACAGGCCATATAGACAGTAGCTTCATTTGGCAAGAACAAGTAATAACACTGTCTGTAACTGTCAATGTCTATTCTGGATGACTCTCCTCGTGAATGACAAGGTAAAAAATGGCACTTTTGACTCCAGCTATTGATTTCCAGTGAATCCTATCAACCTAATACATGTCTAGAGAGTCAAGTTGCAATACCTGTGGTTCATGGCATGCTGGAAGGAGTGATGGTGCCCCTTGGCTTGGGACGAAAGAAAACCCTTCGCGTGAGTGTGGTTGTAACAGCAGGCACTTGCTTCTTGTGATGCATGGTCAGCTGATTTGGAACATTGGATTCATGCTCAATACCTACTATTCGTGTCATTTCTGCCAACATGCTCATCAGATCTTCCTCATTTGAATATTTGAGCAGGACTTCACACAAAGATTGGATGAACCAGGAGCCATTGGCTCCACTCCGCCAGGAATAGTACCCTGCAATGGACACTCCATTCTGACCAAGTGCTTTGATGCATAATTTAAAATCTTGCATACAGTGAAGAAGCCTCTGTCCAAGACTGTATCCTCAGCTTATTACAACATTTACACTATCATTACAAGGTGATGATAGAGACTATGAAGAATACATTATCGTGCATCCACACTACAATGGCCCATATGCAAGAATCTATCACTTGATAGCCTATTACATGGTAGCTATCATGACAGGTAACAGGTGATAGGTTTATAATTTGCTCAGTTCTGTATGCAAGAACAATTTATAGGTATCCATTGTGGGGCCTATTTTGATAGGTATCATACCTATTATGATAGGTATTTTATACCTATCATGATAGGTTTTTGTGAATCTTCCTGATGACAACCTCCTATCCATCGTCTCTTGGCCAGGAACAATGGCATGTGTATCTGCTCACATGACTGACCAGAGTGTTGTGTGATGATTTAATGGTATTAATCTGACCCTGTTTACCAGACTAGAGCTTGAATTCTGATTGCCATGGCTTGATACAAAGAATTCTATGGGATTTGACCTATCCCAGAGTAATTGCGTTCAGCACAAGTTGCGACAGTTTGCATAATTAATTTGGTAAGTAAAATGCACTGCAATCCACCCTGGTAGTTTGTTAAAAGCAGAAGAAATAAGCTCTGGATCATAACAGATTGAAGTGATTCTTATACCTATCATGATAGGTGTAAAATGTTTCTGCATATGGCCAACCTATCAAACTTATCACATGATACCCTCCAAAATAGCTATTTTATCGGTTTTATACATTCTTGCATACCAGCCAATGTTGGATTTAATTCTTGAACCCTAGCTTTCATACCCCTATCCTAGATTCCTAGGTGATTTTTTTTTGTGCAAAATTGGTTCATTCACACTAATACGATATAGGCATATTTATTGCAGTTTTCTGACCAGAACAATAGTCGGAATGTCTTCCTACCTTACCTCCAGTGATTGGTCAAGCTGTTTCCTGGCAATGTATCATAGCAACTGCCAGGTGGGGAAACCAGCCATACGCGTTCAAAGGGTTAAGGATCATCAATAAATCCAATAATATTGTGAGTATCCAACAGTTACTGGGGACTTAGTCAATGTCACATGGCAATGAGTGAATCAGACAAGCTATGATAATAAAGAGCAGGACATAACGAAGGTAAGACTCTGCTGATGAACCAATGGCAGATTATGATCTCAGCCCCCCATCAGTTATTTTCTCTTGTGATGCAAAACAGTGAATCCCCCACAATCATTGTTATTTAAGTTTTGCAAAAATCATGCTTTTTTTGCTTTTTTCTGCTACATAGCTCTTGAATTATCAGTTTCTTCATTATCCATTGTTTGGGTGAGCCCAAGGACATAGATAATATGTATGTATGCATGTGTATGTGCATTTAAAACTAAAACCAGCCCCACCATCTCTCAAGCATACAGCTTCAGCTCCATCCCGATTTAATGGCCTTTTTCTGCCTTGAATCAGACAAGCTATGATAATAAAGAGCAGGACATAACGAAGGTAAGACTCTGCTGATGAACCAATGGCAGATTATGATCTCAGCCCCCCATCAGTTATTTTCTCTTGTGATGCAAAACAGTGAAAAACAGAACAAACCTCTAAATAATTTAAATAAAAATGCAATTAACTGGAGATAATAAAATAAAATAAAGAATGCCATTCCCCCACAATCATTGTTATTTAAGTTTTGCAAAAACCATGCTTTTTTTGTTTTTTTCTGCTACATAGCTCTTGAATTATCAGTTTCTTCATTATCCATTGTTTGGGTGAGCCCAAGGACATAGATAATATGTATGTATGCATGTGTATGTGCATTTAAAACTAAAACCAGCCCCACCATCTCTCAAGCATACAGCTTCAGCTCCATCCCGATTTAATGGCCTTTTTCTGCCTTTGGTACCAGGCCATCCCATTCATGTTGCTGAAAGATTTAGTCCAACCCAATTCCCAGTCATGTTCTCCTGATCACTTCTGGTCCCATAAAAAAAGTATAATATTAATTGGAATAGGAATGATGCAAATGACACACAAAATTGGAAATTCTGCCTGTGTGCAAGCAGGTGAGAGATTTCATGTTTCCACAATTTTACCTGAGAAAATATGATACTCTTGCTTATTGCTTAGAGTTGCAAAACTAGCATTCAATTATGTCTTTGAAAGATATGCAGTAAAAAAAAAAATAAAAAAATAAAATAAATACATGTAGAATAAGAAACCAGGTGGTGGGGTTAGGATTTAGCCTGGATAGTATACAGCAGACCTAAACAAATAATAATGTCTGCAGGAAGATTCTTCATGTCTATAATTCATCCCTGGTTGAGAACTACATAAAATTATATCTTATTTTGGTACATCACTTGGATATTTCACAAATGTGCTGTCTTTAATTATTTAACTTTTGAGAAAGTATTGAACCTTTTAATGAGGGTAGTCAAAGGCACAAAACAGGAGTGTCCAAAGTATGGCTTGCAGACAGGATCCATTCCATGCTTTGTATTCAAGTAAATAAAAAGCTTCAGGGATTGTAAAGCAGAGATTTTTTGTGGCATAATTTCTCATTTATAAAAAAAAATACTTTTGTGTGTTATCTGGTTGGCACCATTCTTTATACTTCCAATGTAGCCAGCTCATCACTCACAAACTTTACTGCTTTCAGTGCAGCAGTGGTCAAAGATAATCCTGCATTTTGGTCTATTAGAAATGGTTGAGCTCTACATATCATTTTGGCACCAGGAAAATGACTAATAGCCTTTCAATGTGACATGCTATCATACATTGCCAAAAGTCAAGACCCACTCATGCAAATGATTACTGACCAGATGTAATGCCACTATATGGCCTAACCGTACTAGAAAGCAAGGATGCAGTCAGGAGGGTGTCCTGGGGGCCTGGAAATGAAGTGAAGTAAGGTTTCATGAAACTAGTCAGGGCAAATGGGGGGGGGGGGGGGCTGAAATCTTCCCAGACTCCCACGGCAATGACAAAATCCCAGCCTAAAGCCAATAAGGTTTGCATATTAATGCCTCACTTATAACAAGCACAGTTATTGAAGGAACCTCAGTTTGGACTAAATCAATTTACTGATAGGAACAGCAAAAGGTACCTAATGCATGACCATTTGTTATCAGACGCTGGAATTTCTATAGTCTGGAGTGTGACCATTGACAACCCATAACTTACTCTTCCCTGGAATCCACATTCCTGGAGGATCTCATGGGGGTGATGGCAGGAAGGAGGGTGAGGGAAATACAATCCCTGGTCACCAAAAGATTTAATCTTTATAATCTTCAGTTACCTTTCTCATTTCTTGTTGACAATATGGCTAGTCCATCTTGAAAAGGATGGAGAAGATATATGAGAGCCCAGGCAAACATTGCATGAAGCTACTCAAGCAGTGAAAATGCTTTCCCTTTTTTTAATTGCATGAGGTGGACAGAGGCCGCAGACAATGTGGCAGTGGTTAGAACTTGTAGAACGTATCTTCTGAAAAATGCACATAATGCAATACAAGATTACAGATTTTCTTGTCTAGTGATGAGTAAGTAGGCACCACCATATGACTGACATACTGTACACCAGAGTAGTATATAGCATAATCTTGAAAATGCAGTCATGAAATGTAAATAAAGGCAACCCAGCTCATAACAACCCTAGACTATAATGAAACATTTTTCATGGTTTCTTCAAAGAAATTACAACCAAACTTGATTGTACCTTCCTTTTTACATGATAAGATGGGATGTATAATGGCCAATGACTAGAGATACAGTCAATATGCAGCTGCTAAGTGAGGTAAAAGATTAAAGTACAGAAAATAATGAGGTGAGCAACATGCCTGAGACAGTAGAGTGTGCAATAAGAAAATCTGCCTGAACAGGAATCCGATAAGAGTCCAGTTCTAGGATGGAATCCGTATGAGTGTGGCTGCTTGTGAATTGGGTCACACTCACACCATCATCAACATCAGTTCCTCGGCATGCCTATAAAACGAAAAGCACACAATAGTGTGGAAGGTATCTTTAAGGCAAGTCCTCCATTTTGCAAGTATCTTGTGATCACTTATAAGCACTCAGAAAGCAACAAGTTCTTTTCACCTTGAACAGGCTGAGTCCTGGGATAAAGTAGGATTACAAAATGAATATATTGAAAATACATATTGAAAAGTAACTCAATTCATAAAATATTGGAATAGGCAGATGACTGACAACCACAAGAAAAGTCACTGAAAATGAGCAGTGCATGATAGTCTCTCATAAGTGGTTCATAGTAAAATGGCTTTGAATTCTGGGAAAAAAAAAGAGACTAACCAAATACTTAAGGGTTTGACACAACCAAAAATTACATCACAATGGTCGAGTCTAGAAATTATGATATCTTTGAAGGTTTGTGGTCTGGGTATAAAGCACACTGTGCTCCAACAAGCAGAGTACCATAGGATACTTCCTCTATGATACAGAAGCAAGGAATTCTTGGTATGTGCATTTATGAGAAAATATTGTAATGACTTATCAGATCACATTTTTTGTTTCCTTGCATGTTTTTGTTCAGGTTGCAAATGTTACTTTGTCAAGGTCTTCCCAATCACCTTATGCAGTAATATCCTTTGACCAAGCTAACAGAATGTGGGAAACCCAAGAGCCACAGGGTTCACAGAAAAGTGTTATAGGATTCTTGCAACATTGCAACATCTTGTACGAACACTGAGAATACAAGAAAATTATTGACTTGTTGATGCATTGTTAAAGAAGCTTTACCCTTTTTTTATTTTGCAAATGACACACTACCCTGCATTTAGATATCCTACTTTTAGCATAGTTTGACTGCTCATATAAAGATGAAGCATTGTTAAGTTTCTTTTAAAAAATTATGCAATTTTTTCTCATGCTTAAGTCTCATGAATAAAATCATGAGCCTTCAGGCAAGTACTCAGGCATGAGACAAAAATGATGTCACATAGAACCACTGTTCAGTTTCAGGAAGGTACCATTATTCTTTCCAAAACCCTTGGCAGGACTTCCTAGAGACACTGATTTGTTTTGAGCTGTCTGTAAGAATTTGGGCTGTCATATTGGCTATTTTGAAAGCATCGATGCATCTACCAGGAATATCACTGAGCATCAATGCAACAGGAAATTATTTACTACCCCTGAACACCACAGCAAAGGGAGATTTGCTGGTGAATTAAACCATTCCTCGTTGCAATAATAGGGGAGGGCTTCCTTCAACTCTCTCCTCCAAGTCAAATGGGGGAAGGGTGCTGCCTACATACACATCTCGTCCTGATCATGATAGACCGAATGGACTCTATTTCGGTCTGGTGTTTCGGCGGCGGCAGCAAGAGTGTGTGGGGAGAAGTGCATCGGAGTGGCTCACGGTAACGCCAAGCGAACATCAGCGGTGGACATCAGCGGTGCGCGAGGCTGTCACTGCCAAGAAGGTAGCCTACCGGGCATACATGTCCAGTAGGTCTGATTCTTCTAGGGCGTGCTATACCGAGGCGCCACGAACTGCTGCTCGTGTTGAGGCCAAAGCGAAACAGGAGGTGAGGAAGGAATTCGGCGATCAAATGGAATCAGACTACCGCACTGCCATCAAGGTGTTCTGGCAAAGCATCCGAAGGTTACGGCAAGGCAGGCAACATAGGCTCCGGGTCATCAAAGACAGAAACGGGGAGGTGTTGGCTGCCGAGGCGGATATACTTGGGAGGTGGAAGGAACACCTTGAAGAGCTCTTAAACCCACCAGCAGTGGACACTGACCTACCCGACCTGGAGCCTCTCAGCGCGGAGACTAGTCTCACCATGGAGGAAGTTCTGCAGGCTAACCTGAAGAATGGGAAGTCTCCTGGTGTGGATGCAATCCGGGCGGAAACTCTGAAAGCAATGGGTACAGATGGGTGCTCGTGGCTTTATAGGGTGTGTCAGGCTGCTTGGGAATCGGGAACGGGACCTAGGGATTGGCAAACCGGTGTGGTGGTTCCTCTTTTTAAGAAGGGGGACTCGAGGGATGAAAAGATTGTGGTCAAGGATATAGTGTATTTGGGCCTTTTGTTCATATCAACTTGATCTTGGTTGGGACACATGCATACTTGAGTTACTAGGCTCAAGTGGCCTTGGAGCAAACCATTAGACCTATTAAGTTTGTCTCTACTCCACCATTGGAATAATGTCTGAGGCTCATCTATAGTTTGATACAGTCAGTGTTGCCTTATGGTATGGAGGTTCTCCATACCTCTGATTAAGACACTCTGAATTTAAAAATTCCAATGGTAATTTTTGAATCAGTAGCACTCTGTAGAGCTGGAACTTTCTGAGTTTGAGACACCCCACTGGGTAAAACACTACAAGGCCTCAGAGCAGAGTTTGGATACATATACATTTGGGACATTAGTTCCCAAACTTTTCTATTCTCAAGTACATGTGTGACAGTAGTCAGATTTTGGAAACTAAGCTCTGGAGTACCTGTGCTTGCACCCTTTCAAGGGCCCACCTATTTCTAGATGCTGATAAGTTTCCATGAGACAAACTATATTGTCAGAAAAAACCTGGTCCTGTACTACAGGTACTTCTTGGCTGTTGGAGATGGCTACCTCAGATGGGTCACTAATCTGAACTTCATGCCATATGGCTGAGGATTTAAATAATTTTCTCTTTATTTTTAGAGAGCTCCTGACTGTACAGTATAAGAGGATTAGGCCAGTATTGTTTGNTGGCTGTTGGACATGGCTACCTCAGATGGGTCACTAATCTGAACTTCATGCCATATGGCTGAGGATTTAAATAATTTTCTCTTTATTTTTAGAGAGCTCCTGACTGTACAGTATAAGAGGATTAGGCCAGTATTGTTTGGCCATGTCATCCTGAAGATGTGGGATGCCTCTTTGCTCAAAATCTAACATCTAGATTGTGCTTTGTTTTCCAGAAACTATGAAAATGAGATGTCAGAGTTTCTCCTCTATCAATTGCCCATCTAAAACTTTCCTTCATAATTCCAGAGACTATGACTAATTAAATATTCTTCTAACATCTAGATTGTGCTTTGTTTTCCAGAAACTATGAAAATGAGATGTCAGAGTTTCTCCTCTATCAATTGCCCATCTAAAACTTTCCTTCATAATTCCAGAGACTATGACTAATTAAATATTCAGTGAATAACCAGCATTATTATTGATCAACCATGAGATTAGATACATTTGGTAATCAAGTAAAAACTACAATCAGTTTGCAGGTGACAATTCTCAGAATCAGGACTTAAGAACAAGAGATACATAATTTCCATTGTAGTTTGGATCTGGATATACCATATTGCTATGTTTTCATTTTGTTCAAGCCATCTAAATTCTATCACACCAATCCACTACACTCAAATCATTGTCTATTTTTCTCCTTCAGTTGACTGATTAAGGATAATTCAGGATTTAACTTTCAGCACAATGAAGAACTTATTTTGTAAGGAGAATAAAATTGAAGAAATTCAAGTTCAAATTTTCATTTTTTTTTCATGGTTCCCATTCACTACTGTAGCCTAGACAAAAAAGAATGGACATATTGGGCTAAACATGACTTGACATGAAACTGAGAATCAGGAAAATATAAAGATTCAGAAAATATCAAGATCAAAGTGCTTGAAATCGATGGGGGTCATGTTGAAGTTCATAGCTTGTAATTAGTGAATTTCTTTTGGCTGAAACTTTGTCACAATAAATACTAAACATACATCTAAATACTGTGAAAATTTTGTCTAGTTTGCTCAAGTATAAATAATTTTATACTTGATTAAAATCATCTGCAATGAATGGGACACTCTGTACATAGACTTTTTTTGTTTATGGACAGGTGAAAAGGGGTTTAATGCTATAGTACAACAGTACCTGAATGAAAAACATCTTGGGCTTGCCAGCCAAAGATGGACAACGGTCTGCAGTGAATGGGGCCCAGAGGAAATGAGGCTTATATGCTCGATCATAGGCATAAAGCATACCGTGTTCCCCATGGCTTAGAATGCATACTATGAGACAGTCACACTGCTGATGGTTCTCTTGGGCAACTGATAATGAGGAAGAAAATGAAATACATGACAATTTATCCATAGATGTACACAATGTAAAGCATTCAAACATCCAAACCACCTTACTTACCAAAAAGTGATATGTATGTCTGTATTTCAATGTGAGCTCACAATCCACACACAGTTCACTGCTATCATGTCCTGTTATAAAAAATGGGACTGCACCCTACCTTCAACTGATTCAACTTGAAGACCTGAATCTTGCAGCATAAACTTCTGCCTTGGTATATGTATTTTTTGAATTGGGGGGTGGGGAGATGCCCCACTGCACTATCTCAAATGTGTTTAGCCAAAGCTGAAGGGAAGAACCCTCTTAAGAGCAGCATTTGTGGAGCAATGTTTCCCATGTTTTGCTTAAACATCCCTTCTCACATAAGCAAGATCATAAAATTGCAGCTAAACATATATTTGCAAATCTGCAAATCGGAGAGGATTTTATTTTCAACAGCTACCAACTCCATAAAAACATTTAGGAGCAATTGGCATCCCACTTGGCTATTGAAAAAGAATCTCAAGTTATTCAATAAAACCCACTACTTACCCACCCTGAACAGATATGGAAGAATGGGTGGATATGACAAATTTTCTGCATTCTTAGAATAAAACCCTGTCTGATACTACCTTCTGTCAGTCAATACCTTCTGAATTTTATTTATTTACTCTTCCTATAGCTTTTCTAGGCCTTTATCCATGAGGGACAGTCTTTTTCCTTGATCAGAATGGGCTTTGTCTGACATACACACAGGCTCAGATTGAAGCACTAACAAGTTAGGATCCAGCACATGAGAAACTTGACAACCAAAGATATTACAACTATTAGAACTTAGAAAGAGTCCAGTAGGTCTGATTCTTCTAGGGCATGCTATACCGAGGCGTGACGAACTGCTGCTTGTGTTGTGGCCAAAGCGAAACAGGAGGCGTGGGAGGAATTCGACAATCAAATGGAATCAGACTATCGCACTGCCATCAAGGTGTTCTGGCAAACCATCCGAAGGTTACGGCAAGGCAGGCAACATATGCTTCGGGTCATTAAAGACAGAAACAGGGAGGTATTGGCTGCCGAGGCGGATATACTTGGGAGGTGGAAGGAACACTTTGAAGAGCTCTTAAACCCACCAACAGTGGACACTGACCTACCCGACCTGGAGCCTCTCAGCGCGGAGACTAGTCTCACCATGGAGGAAGTTCTGCAGGCCATTGCTAGCCTGAAGAATGGGAAGTCTCCTGGTGTGGATGAAATCCGGGCCGAGACTCTGAAAGCAATGGGTACAGATGGGTGCTCGTGGCTTTATAGGGTGTGTCAGGCTGCTTGGGAATCGGGAACGGCACCTAGGGATTGGCAAACCGGTGTGGTGGTTCCTCTTTTTAAGAAGGGGGACTCGAGGGAGTGCATGAACTATCGTGGGATCACTCTCCTCAGCATACCTGGTAAGAGTGCTGGAAGGTGCTGGAAAAGAGAGCTCGGGCAGTCGTGGGTGAAGCGATGCAAGAGGAGCAGTGCGGCTTTCGTGAAGGGCGTAGCACCACGGACCAGCTGTTCACTCGTCACCAGATCTTCGAGAGACATTGGGAGTATGCCAAAGATGTCTACATGTGCTTTGTGGACCTTGAAAAAGCTTACAACCGTGTACCCCGAGGAAAACTGTGGGGAGTGCCGCAGGAGTATGGGATCAAGGGTCAGCTATTGCTGCAATGCGAATTTGGATGACCGAAAAGCTCTCTCCTTGAGGCAAAGGAGCCTAAATACATGTTCACTCTTGCTAATAGGCACCTGCTCATGCGCAATTCAGACGGTGATACCGGCCTCCCTTCTCTCATATACTATTGTATTGCTATGGGATACCCCCATAGAGCGTCCCCTATGCATGGTCTATGAGCCAGAGAAGGCTATCAGACGCTGGCCTCCCGTACGCGATTCTGGCCAGGAATAAGCTATCAGAGACCGGACTTCACTCGTTTTGTGTCGATGTAGAATGAATCCAATGAGAGATTTATTTCAGCGATTTTCTATCCTAATGGATATTTTCAATTATAAGGGGGTCTCCTGAGAATTGTTGAGGAAGCCGGGCCTCTCTTGCCTCCCGTGACGAGCCGCCACTGATACACCATGGACTCGCCTTGCCATGGCGACGTACGCGATGTCACATAGAGCACTAGTGTTACCTGAGCCTCTAGACCAGATGGGTTGAGTTAAATTTCTAATTGGTTTGGCCTAGTAACATCATCTTTTGGTAGGAGGAATAAATATACTTTGCTTGATAAGATTGGAAACGATATTTCATATTGCGTGGCAAGATTGGTCTAAATGGTGCTACGGAAGAGATTTCCACATGAAATGCATTAAATTTTTTTTCCTTTAGTACTCCCAGTAAATTGCCATGCCCGATTTCCAGGGGGCAAGCGCCCCTTCTTGCCCCTTAGAGCGGACGCCCATGGCGCGGAGACTAGTCTCACCATGGAGGAAGTTCTGCAGGCTATTGCTAACCTAAAGAATGGAAAGTCTCCTGGTGTGGATGAAATCCGGACGGAGACTCTGAAAGCAATGGGTACAAATGGGTGCTCGAGGCTTTACAGGGTGTGTCAGGCTGCTTGGAAACGGCACCTAGGGATTGGCAAACCGGTGTGGTGGTTCCTCTTTTTAAGAAGGGGGACTCGAGGGAGTGCACGAACTATCGTGGGATCACTCTCCTCAGCAAACCTGGTAAAGTCTATTCCAAGGTGCTGGAAAAGAGAGCTCGGGCAGTCGTGGGTGATGCCATCCAAGAGGAGCAGTGTGGCTTTCACAAAGGGCATAGCACCACAGACCAGCTGTTCACTCTCCACCAGATCCTCGAGAGACATTGGGAGTATGCCAAAGATGTCTACATGTGCTTTGTGGACCTTGAAAAAGCTTATGACCATGTACCCTGAGGAAAACTGTGGGGAATGCTACAGGAGTAAGGGATCAAGGGTCAGCTATTGTGGGCCATACAGTCCCTTTACAGCGATTGCAGAAACTGCATCCGAGTGAGCGGGAGGAGTTCGGATTGTACGCACTTTGCATTGTACGGAGGAGTACGCGCTGGACTCCAGCAGGGTTGTGTCCTCTCACCTTTCCTGTTCCTCGTGTACATGGACAGGATCTGTAGGCACAGCCTCGGCCTGGAGGGGGTCGACATCGGTGACGTCGCGGTAAGGATGCTTCTCTTTGCCAATGATGCCATTTTTTTGACCCGCTCTCGACAGGAGCTCCAGAGCGTGCTCGATTGGTTCGACTCCGAATGAACTGCGGCCAGAATGAAACCAAGCGTCTCCAAGACACAGGTCATGGTCCTCTTGAGAAATCCTGCTCAGTGCACCCTGCATGTCAGTGGGATCCCACTGGAACAGGTGGAGAAGTTCAAGTATCTCAGGGTCTGGTTCTCGAGTGATGGGCGATATGGAAACGAGATGGACATCTGCGTCTCCAAGGCTTCTGAAGTTCTGCAGGAACTTTGGTGAACCGTGGTTACCAGATCGGAAGTTTCTTGGGAAGCAAACACTCTCGGTTTTTACGAGTGCTTATCTCCCCACCCTCACCTATGGTCATGAACTTTGGGTAATGACTGAAAGCACCAGATCGCGAATACAGGCTGCCAAAACGAAGTCCTTGCGTCGAGTGGCTGGCGTAATGCGCCGTGATTGGATGCGGAACTCTGCCATCCACGAGAGTCTCCAAGTCGAGCAGCTGCTTCTCCTGATCGGAAGGTCTCAGCCAGGTGGTTTGGTCACGTCTGTCACACGCCCCCTGAAAGGCCCCCAAGAGGAGCCTTCCAGGCCAAGATGACAGGCAAAAGACCTGTCGGTAGACCTTGTACAAGATGGAGTGATTATGTCGCTCGGCTTTGTCACGAGAGGCTCAGCATCCCACCAGCTGAGCTTGAGTCTGTTGCCCAGGATCGAGATCACTGGAGGACCCTCCTGGGAATGCTCAAATCGTAACCCCATTAAGTTGGGAAAAGTAGCCAAGAAAATGTATGTATGTATGTAGAACTTAGAAAGAGGTGATTCTTAATCCCAGTGCTAGTAAACCAAATTATTCAGCTCCAAATTTAAGGCACATGAATTTTTAACATAGAATAGATTGTCCACCTCACAACCACCACTAATGCATGCTCCTTTAATTAGAGAAAGCTCATACTCATGCTTCATGAATGAAACCAGTGCATAGTGCACTATGGAAGTAGATTAAGCCACATTAAGATCTTAAGATTAAGCTCTTGTGGGATCAGTTTTTGAATAACCTTTCCACAAACTCATGAAAAAAAGAGTCGAGAAAGAGACCACCACATAACTAGGAGAATTCACTGGGAAAAGTAGTAAATCTTGCATTGCAACCTGAGCCTGTGGACATAACCCAAAACCAACTGTAAATACTAACTGTCCTCTGACAGAAAAGAAGTTTTAGAAATTATTTATAGGGACAGTACTTATGACGAATTATTAATAAGTTATTACATTCCTCAGTTATAAGCTATGTTCGTGAAAACTTCTATTGTCTGGGTTATCAATGATTTATTTGAGGTAAAATGTCAAAGTTGTTTTATAACCACTCTGTGCCAGACAAAATTAACAACACTTACCCTTGTCAATGGCTTCCATAATATGCTGGTATGTCTTATCATTGAAGATAATGACCTCAAAGCCCAAGTTCCCCAGAGCATGAACTAAACGTTCCCGATCTTGATTGGTACCATCCCGCCTTGACAGTTCAGTATCTTCATGGAAAACTTCATGATTGAAGACAAGGGCTTTGCCCCGCCGAGGGTGGTCCATATTGTAATGCCTGTCATTTCGTGCAACTCCAACAGGGATCAAATTGGAACTCTGAGTCAACATGGTCTTCATGTGATTAAACCTTGAAGAAAATACACAGGAACCAAATTGAAATGGTGAATGTAGGAGGGATGTCAAAACTGGAGTTGATATTCATTGGTAAAAATGGATATTTCACATATTTCATGAACCAAAAAAGTCATTTTCATCCCTGGGGTACCCCAAATTTAATGCACACACTGCATTTCTTCACCTGCTTTGCAAACACATATGGGTTGTTCATGGAAGCTTCATCAATCTCAGCTTCACTGACTTCATGATATGATTCCTTCCCTAGAAATACATTCCTCTAATAAATTATTTCATTTTTTGTTGTCAGAAGGCAGCAATCTTTTGGGAGAAACTACCAGTTACATGTTATCAGACCTGATGCAAATACTGCTTTCTGCCATAAAATCTACAGGAACACTAATCAAGAAACACAAAAAAATAATATATTGGTTGTCTAGTATTGGCCAATATCAGGAAAATACTATAAACTTGGTCAATATGATATGTTAGCCACGTTACATATATATATATATGACTGGGCCCTTGAAAACTTTCCTTTAGTATTGCCAAGGAGATGACTCCACACCTGTATTACAAATATGCTGCTTTAGTGAAGACAGTTTTCCACCATTACCTCGAAACGTCCTATTCCTTGCATGTTCCCTTCAATCATTTTAAAAATTCATCTTCCCTTGCAATAATCCTCCTTCCTGCCCATCAGGGGTTAGTTTATACTAAGCATTGCTTTTTTGGTAACTGGCTGGAGTTTGGCTGTTCTGGGCATCATCACCACCTTCACAATGCACTTTAAGCTCATTGCTTTTTGTAGCATTAGCATCTCGAATGAGGTCGGTTACCTCACGAGTAAAAACCACCGACACTCTAGTTGAACTCATCCCACGTGTCAGTGGACGGTCGGAATTTTGGTTATAAAGAAGAAAGTCTTGAATTCTGTTACTGTCATCATTGGTAGAATGGCATGATTTTTTTTAGCAAATTCTTCTAGCATGAAACCCATCAAAATTTGCTGTGGGGTGACCAAGGATGATGGCATTGTGTAATGGAGAACACATACTCGAAAAAATTCCTGGTATCATGTTTGTATATAAAAATGATACCTGATACATGATGCACTTTTGAATGTGTATACACATTCAGAAGTGCATTTCAAGGGTTCCAAAAGGTGAAACCTTTCCCAGGAATTCTACACCATTAGAAGTTAGCAGGATTTCATAACCAGAGAGCAATGAAGGGGGCAGATGAATGTTTCAGTTTAGGTAATTTCAAAGTCAATTTGATATTGTGTGAATATAACAAAACTTGCTGCAGCAGCCTTGTTAATACAAATAAATCTGCCTTCTTATCTTTCTCATTTCCTAGAAGAAGAAAAAGGCTGAAGGTAGGACATGGTCTGGACAACAAGCAGGTTGAATGTATTTATGGACACCTTACAGGGATGGAGAGATTTGTGAGATAGAGCATTGCAATGTATCAGCAAATGGGGAAACTGCGAAAATCAAAATTTGCTGTCTTGTGAGTGATTATGGGACCCTGCAGAGCACAGAAATGAGAGCAAGAATACATAGAAGTATATAACAGACACAACCAGTCAATAATTAAAAAAGAGGGAGGGAGTAAATCTGACATTTTGAAAGCATAAAACTTCCTTTCTCAGGGAATGAAAAATCATCAAAGTTCAGAAAAATATTTTCCAATCCAGGTTGAAAAACATCCAAAATGTTAGATTAACTCCCCCCTGCCTTTTAATATACTTATTGGTAGTGAGTGTCTCTGTGCTTCCATTTCTCAAGCATTCATTCATTCATTCACCATATCCATGTGGATCCCAGTCGTAGGAAGGAAGAAAACTGTTTTGTGGATTTTCCCCATCTATATCTTGTAGAACAAAGGTTGTAGACTACTCATGTAAAGCAGCCATGAGATGCCTGATCCCAATCCAGAAAACAATTTTTCTCATTTACTCCCTCATCAGGCTGCAATGGCTTTCACCCTTCCTTCCATGAGAGCACAGCGCTTAGCATTTTGTTTACTTCCATGGCCATCTTCATTTTTTCTCCCAATTCATCATTTGTGATTACATATTTGCTGATATGCTCTGCCTATGGCTCAGGTTGATACATTGATGTTTTCAAAATAGCCATTGTCACAGCCCAAGATGGTACCAAGTTAAGGTCACTTCTCGTGTACCTTCCCTATTCATTCTTCACTTTCTCTCACCTCTTCTTCATTTAACCAAAGCCTTCCATCAATATTTGCATTTTTCATTGCAAGGAAAACTTCCATGCTTTTTGAACTATTGCCCATTTTATATTTCATGAAAATCCTCCATGGAGCCACATATTTTTAATTCCATGATACAATACCCCAAAAAATATTTTTAAAAACCTGGTGTAACCAGTTTGCCTTCCTCATATACAGTACTGATATGAAGGTAACTTCATCTCTGCAAACTTAAGTGACGTTTGGAAGCTTCTTCAACAGAACAAGTAGCTCTTTAAAGGAACAGGCATAGGGCTATCCAATTTCAGCTGTTGTAATGTGCAATTCCATTCACAATTCCCATTCACAGACAAAGCTTATTTACAATTTCAATATCAATATTAGACTTGCAGATGAAAATATTCAAGCAACTAACTTCTACAAGCTACATGAGAATAATACTCACTCTGCTGAATGAGGTTCATTAGGCTGAGGTTCATGACCATTAGGTGTTCCATTGGAATGAGATTCTTCACCAGTTGAGACTCCATTCTGATGGGGGTTATCACCCTTTGGCACTCTGCAAGCCCCAGAGTGACTTGATAGATTCAATGAAGCAGACCATAAGAATCCCAGGGGATTGCTATCTCCTTCAGTGACACCTCTTCTTATTAGGGGAATCTCCAATAGTGGTTGTGCCTCAATTACATCTCCAATTGGTAAATGTGTCTCTGAAAATCAAGTACCATGGAACCATTAGTTACATTTGTCAAATTTCTTTGAAAACCAGCAAGCCTTAGATTATATCATTCCTACCTGCATGGCCTTGTAGACTATTATGAACTTGCGGGTCTGGATCACTTTCGGGATGCACTGCTGGTCCCAAGGAAGGTCTTTGTCTGGCTGTTTCATCATGCATCTTCAGGAACACTAGCACCTCATCACTTCCTTGAAGAGACCCCCACATGCTTCACTGTAGAAGAAATAGGAAAAACAAATTTGGCAATGGTTAGCAAGAGTATCCAGCCACCAAGCCACTTCCGTACATTAAAANTGCTGCTTTAGTGAAGACAGTTTTCCACCACTACCTCTAAACATCCTATTCCTTGCATGTTCCCTTCAATCATTTTAAAAATTCATCTTCCCTTGCAATAATCCTCCTTCCTGCCCATCAGGGGTTAGTTGATACTAAGCATTGCTTTTTTGGTAATTGGCTGGAGTTTGGCTGTTCTGAGCATCATCACCACCTTCACAATGCACTTTAAGCTAGTTGCTTTTTGTAGCATTAGCATGAGCTTACTCCAGCCAATGGAGTGCTCATTTTTGGTGGCTGTGAGATCAACTTGAGTAGGGTGCACAGTCACCTGCCAGCCTTAAAACCAATATTTCTTCTTTCAGAACTTAAGACAATGACAGTAGGTTGGTAGAATGGCATGATTTTTTTTAAAGCAAATTCTTCTAGCATGAAACCCATCAAAATTTGCTGTGGGGTGACCAAGGATGATGGCATTGTGTAATTGAGAACACATATGCAAAAAAATTCCTGGTATCATGTTTGTATATAAACATGATACCTGATACATGATGCACTTTTGAATGTGTATACACATTTAGAAGTGCAATTCAAGGGCTCCAAAACCTTTCCCAGGAATTCTACACCATTTGAAGGATTAGAAGTTAGCAGGATTTCATAACCAGAGAGCAATGAAGGGGGCAGATGAATGTTTCAGTTTAGGTAATTTCAAAGTCAATTTGATATTGTGTGAATATAACAAAACTTGCTGCAGAAGCCTTTTCTTGTTAATACAAATAAATCTGCCTTCTTATCTTTCTCATTTCCTAGAAGAAGAAAAAGGCTGAAGGTAGGACATGGTCTGGGCAACAAGCAGGTTGAATGTATTTATGGACACCTTACAGGGATGGAGAGATTTGTGAGAGATAGAGCATTGCAATGTATCAGCAAATGGGGAAACTGCGAAAATCAAAATTTGCTGTCTTGTGAGCGATTATGGGACCCTGCAGAGCACAGAAATGAGAGCAAGAATACATAGAAGTATATAACAGACACAACCAGTCAGTAATTAAAAAAGGAGGGAGTAAATCTGACATTTTGAAAGCATAAAACTTCCTTTCTCAGAGAATGAAAAACCATCAAAGTTCATAAAAAATATTTTCCAATCCAGGTTGAAAAACATCCAAAATGTTAGATTAACTCCCCCCTGCCTTTTAATATACTTACTGGTAGCGAGTGTCTCTGTGCTTCCATTTCTCAAACATTCATTCATTCACCAAATCCATGTGGATCCCAGTCGTAAGGAAGAAAACTGTTTTGTGGATTTTTCCCATCAATATCTCATAGAACAAAGGTTGTAGACTACTCAGGTAAAGCAGCCATGAGATGCCTGATCCCAATCCAGAAAACAATTTTTCTCATTTACTCCCTCATCAGGCTGCAATGGCTTTCACCCTTCCTTCCATAAGAGCACAGCACCTAGCATTTTGTTTATTTCCATGGCCATCTTCATTTTTTTCTCCCAATTCATCATTTGTGATTACATATTTGATGAATCAGTCGATTTGATGAATCAATGCTCTGCCTGTGGCTCAGGTAGAAGCATTGATGTTATCAAAATAGCCATTGTCACAACCAAAGATGGTACCAAGTTAAGGTCACTCCTTGTGTACCTTCCCTATTCATTCTTCACTTTCTCTCACCTCTTCTTCATTTAACTAAAGCCTTCCATCAATGTTTGCATTTTTCATTGCAAGAAAAACTTCCCATGCTTTTGGAACTATTGCCCATTTTATACTTTGTGAAAATCCTCCATGGAGCCACATATGATTCATTCCATGATACAATATCCCCAAAAATATTTTTTTAAACCTGGTGTAACCAGTTTGCCTTCCTCATATACGGTACTGATATAAAGGTAACTGCATCTCTGCAAACTTAAGTGACGTTTGGAAGCTTCTTCAACAGAACAAGTTGAAGCTTCTTTAACGGAACAAGCATAGGGCTATCCGATATCAGCTGTTGTAATGTGCAATTCCATTCACAATTCCCATTCACTGACAGAGCTTATTTACAATTTCAATATCAATATTTTACTAGCAGATGAAAATATTCAAGCAACTAACTTCTACAGGCTACATGAGAATAATACTCACTCTGCTGAATGAGGTTCATTAGGCTGAGGTTCATGACCATTAGGTGTTCCATTGGAATGAGATTCTTCACCAGTTGAGACTCCATTATGATGGGGGTTATCACCCTTTGGCACTCTGCAAGCCCCAGAGTGACTTGATAGATTCAATGAAGCAGACCATGAGAATCCCAGGGGATTGCTATCTCCTTCAGTGACACCTCTTCTTATTAGGGGAATCTCCAATAGTGGTTGTGCCTCAATTACATCTCCAATTGGTAAATGTGTCTCTGAAAATCAAGTACCATGGAACCATTAGTTACATTTGTCAAATTTCTTTGAAAACCAGCAAGCCTTAGATTATATCATTCCTACCTGCATGGCCTTGTAGACTATTATGAACTTGTGGGTCTGGATCACTTTCGGGATGCACTGCTAGTCCCAAGGAAGGTCTTTGTCTGGCTGTTTCATCATGCATCTTCAGGAACACTAGCATCTCATCACTTCCTTGAAGAGACCCCCACATGCTTCACTGTAGAAGAAATAGGAAAAACAAATTTGGCAACGGTTAGCAAGGGTATCCAGCCACCAAGCCACTTCAGTACATTAAAATCTCTGCTGCTTCTCCAGAACCAGGGAATTGCACATATTCCATCTATCCCCCGTCCCCCCCCCCCCCCCTTCCTACATGAGAGGGGTTAATAATACATCCAGGCATTAAAGAATGGGTTAGAGAGAACCTTGGCTGTTAAGGGCAATTCGTCCAGTCCTTGTAAAAAGTGACAGGAACAAAGAAAAATGAGACAGATTATCCATGTCCTCAGGCAGGCAAACAGAGTTGACCTGCCTCAAGAGTTTGCTATAGCTCAGATTTACCTTTCCTTACTTACCTAAAGCTGGGCCATGACGATAGCTTGATCTAGACGAATTGATGACACGAGGCGGAATTCTGGGGGATGCCAAAGCAAAGAAAGACGTGATAAAACAGGATTTGAGTGTGACACCACGAACCATACCGGGTCAAGCCCTAATAATAAAGCCCAAAATGTGACTTCAATCTCTCAATCACGCGAGTCTCTCCGAATTATATACAGTATACTCTCTTACCGGCTTCCACTTCGCTGATTAGGCCTCTTTTCAATCTCGTTCCAACGTCTGTCACTCGACCGACTGAAGCAGTTCTTGGAACCGAATGGAAACGGGCGCCACTGCGACCTGCTGCGTACGACCATGGTCGAGAATCACCGTAGAGTAGGGAGTGTAACTAGAGGCGACACTCCGAGGGGTAGAGGAGGATCAAAATATTAGAGACATCTGGTGGCTTGTGATCAACAACACTTCCATGAGGCATGCTCCGTGGCAGCTAAACGAGGAATCGACTCATTCGGGGATTCGACCCAATGAATCCATCAACGTAACACGCGAGTCTGCTTGAGTCCACTGCTCAGCCGTGGAAGAGTTGTGTGCACGCTAGGTGGAGGATCGACAGTGACATCCATATTGCGACCCTGTCAATGAATGGGAATCGAGCGGAGAGTGGAAGCCTCAAATTAAACTCTCTATGGAAGCACAGAAGACCAGGTTCCGCAATGCGGCGAAGTTGTTGGCGCGCATTCCGGCATGACGACGTGTGACGTCACTCACTCGCCCGTGGGCTCCTTCCGCCCGACATCCCGCTCTTAGTCTCAACCAATTCCCGGACGTGTCACGTTGAGTCCAGTTTGTCTTGGATCGGCAGGCTAAAACCCACATCTTCATGAGTAACACGAAGGAACGAGTAGTATGCCAAATCGATGCTGCAGTTTCTACGATTTCTTTCGTTCGGAGGAATCAGTGTGTTCTTCGTTCCTTTCTCGAATGCGAATGCCGACGGAGAATCGCGTCCTTGCGTCGAGTCACAGGAACAGGCACGTCTGGGATCTCTGCTACAAATGGGTTTGTTCGAAGATTTCACGCATCTATTCTTGTTCCTTGACTGTTTCAGTTCGGTGAAGCACATCGCAAACACGTAAACGATGCGAGAAGGATCCACAAGTTTTGGTGTTTTGAGTGAAAAACCCCGCGCTCATTCCACAGGCTTCTGTTCCCTCTGCCCTGATCGAGAACGATTCCATCGATCGGATTGCCTAAGGACTGCAATTTACGGATAACACGCGAAGGTGAGGCAGCATCCATCGGTCTAACGTATAAAATATGGGATTCATCGGTCAAGAATACCACGAGCCATTTGCACTGAGGCCTACCTCTCCCAATCGATTTATTTTTTATTTTTCCCGAAATAGACGTATGAAATGAATGAAATCCTGACGAAGGAATATGGAGATGGTCGGCAAAAAGAGAAAAGCCTCACATGTGTCACACGAAAGCAGGCAAGCAGCATGATGAGAACCCTTCCCAGTTTAAAATCCCAGCTGGAATATTCCAGCTGGACCAAAGCTGTAAATTCGGACCATTTCCAGCTGGCAAAGAGCTGGAAAACAGTAGGTACCAGTTGTTTATTAGCTGGAATTTTCCAACTTTTGCAATTAGGAAGAACTCTGGAGTTGACTATTTTCCAGCTGTTACCCAGTTGGAATGGGTCCGAATTTCCAGCTGGAGTCCAGCTGGAAATTATAGCTGTTTCCAGCTGGGATTTTAAACTGGGTTTGATTAGGGAAAAAGATTCCGTTTTGGTTTCACTGAAGTCCATCTTGCATTCCCAAGATGTCCTGTCAGGATCCATCTCTGAAGCGCCAAAAGCAGTCATCCGCGTAGTTAGCGCCATCCATGGTGAGTTCGAAGAACTATTAGAAAGTTAGTGGCGCCATCTTTGGAGGACCCAAGAAACTGAATGGCTCCAGCGCAAGCACCATCTGCAGAGAGCCTGCAAAACGATGAAGGAGTTACTGCCATTATCTTTTGAAGGAACGTAGAACTAAGGAGGCAGTTACGAGCTCCATCCTTGGAGGTCCCGGAGACTGAGCCACTCCACCGCCGGTGTCTCCTCTGATGGGGCTTGGGAGCAAAATGGGATTTACAAGGATTTGCTAGTGCCAGAGTGAAATGAGAACGGGGGGGAGCAGGAAGGAGAAGGAAAAAAAAAAACAATTTAACTACACTAGTATAGCTAAATGGGACACATTAACTTTCGTTTTCGTCTTCTCCGTCAGCCGGTCTGGTTACGACAGTTTTTCTCTAAAGGGATTTATTTGTTCACAGCAGCCTGGTTGTCTCGCGAACACAGAACCAAGCAACCCCAGCTTTTAGGCAGGAATTTCAGGCAGTTCGGATACTGGGAGGTGTGGGGGGGATCACACCTGTTCGAGCACTGATGGCACCTGTTTAGGAGCCGCGGGAGAAGAAACAAAAATAAGGAAAATGAAGCGTTATGAAGGGATGGATGGACCGAGGGAGTTGCGCCGTCCAAGAACGGCGGGAGTGATTCTTGATTAGTGTTCCTGCAGATTTTATGGCAGAAGGCAGTATTTGCACTCGTTCACGTTTTCCTCTCGCGTGGTTTGCGTTGTGGCACTCGCTGAATCCACGAACAGGCGGCAACATTTTCACCCTGATTTGCACTCTGATGCGTATTTATGCAAGTATCGTTCCATTTTGGTAGACTTTTAGCCATGCACCACACTTCTTTTAAAAGCATGAGGTCCAGTGACGGCCACTCATGTTTTGAACCTTTTGCTTCCGTGTTTCCAATGGCAATCGCCTGTAAAATGAAGTGGACACACCGTAGGCCCGATTACGAGTGTGTGACCAAACCGAAAGTCGAACTGGCAACAATAGGAGAAACCTCCCCGTACGACAGAAGCATCTCGGTCTCTTTCTCTCGTTCTCGGTGACTCCTTGGGGATTCACTCTTCCGAGTTACTCCGGACTCCGAAGAGAGAGACTGAAGGTGCGTTCGCAACTTAAGGCTGGCAAGTGCATATGATTTATTATACAGTGATGGGGAAGTGTTTGGAAAACGGTGTTATTTAGGAATAGCTATATCACATCGGTAGGCTTCACCTCACTGGAAGACTCCTCGGACAATTGTACTCAAATGCGATAGAAATGAGGCTCTTATGACTCCAGGCGCATAGAAGAGACTCTGTGCTCAAAGCCGGAAACCTGCTCGACTCTGACCGAGCACACCCGGCTAGCAGGTCCAGGGCGAGAGAGTGGAAAGTGAATGTGGACGGATGACCGTGACGTCAGCGAAAGGGAAGTTGGAGGCTCTTCCACTCTATTCGTTACGCGGAATGTGGCAGGGCACGAGGGCACCACATCCCACACGTTCAAATTTCTCGTTGCTTTTGCGCTCTGAGGTCTGAAATCTTCCTTGGGTTTGCGTCTTGCCGCTTCCACGGCGACAGCCGGGGGATCCATCTATTAACGCGAGGACGACTCTCACGCAGGCCATAAACTCGGAAGGGTCATCAAGCATCCGTAGACAAGCAAATAGTCCTGAGGAAATGTCGACATACTGCGACAAAAACGTTGCGGGGTGTGACCGACGTGATGCATTAAAGCCGACAACAGAGGTTGCGTGTTCGCATCAGGCTGCAGGTGTAATGTCGAGCATTCTGCAGATGGTACATCAATAAAAGGCAACCGCACTGGTGAGATACGACACACACAGGAGAGAGGATTCCCAAACGGCACACGACGCCCATGCAACGTAGCTACAACGTGTAAATGACGTCCCGATAACGTCGCATAGACGTCACTTACATGTACAGTATGTGTTGCTTGGGTTCATACCGCTTCGCCAGTCGTTAGACGAGTGGACCGGGTCCATCCGACATCATCTGGAGATGAAACCCCCCCACTCGAGACGATCACGGCGACTGGGGCGATAGAGATCGCACACCCGGTTGCTTCTTCGTCGCCGCGTCGATTCCTTCGACGGAGCCGACTCACCCGCGTCGGCAGCGGATTAACACCGCCTTTCCGCCGACGCGAGGGGCGTGAGCTGCGCGTCATCCGGGCGTTGTGCGTCGCGACCGCCGCTTTCTGGCGTCTCTGTCGGCCGTAAAAATGCTAATGTCGGGGAAAGAATGAGGTGGGGCAAGGATGTCGCTAGAATTTCCTCGCAAGGAATGGAGAAAATGCAGAACTATAGTTAACAGGTACGTTGTAAGAAACTTGTCGATCTGATGGCAAGAGAAGGCGCGATAGGCGTAAATCAGCTTAAACTTACAGGGAATCAACTTCAGACTTTTTTGTCAAAAATTTTTCGTTATTTCGTATAAAATTGTCCCTTAGGTTCATAAAATAGCTATAATAGCAAAACGGCAAGAGATGAACGACTTAAAGAGCTTCAGAGGATACGTATACATAATTATCAAATTTCTTTGTGCTACATGGCGAATTTTGTTCTACATTTAAAACGGATTTTAAACTTCCATCTACCAGTACAGTATATGCGATAGGGAGAGAGAGAGAGAGCAGGAACTCGAGAATGAGGACTCGGACGTACAAAGAACCAGAGCCATATTTGAGATAGCTCGAGTTGCCGTCGGCTCAGGGCACGCTAGATAAGAAGAGAGAAGAGTCTGTGCCTTTTACTCCTTATCTTCTTCCCTTCGGATGCGTGCCATAGGAATTCCTTGCCGTCCCAGGTTATATATCCCGTCGTACGATTCAGGTATGTATCTCTCATCGTTGCGATTCCAATTTCTCTGTGTGAAAGTTCCTCCCGGCGGTTTCTCGCAAGGGGGGAAAGTGGTCGAATATGGGCAGATCGGGGAATTGGGGCAACCCGCATCTAATACCTTTGAACGATCGTGTGACTAACGGACTGAGGCTAATTCTGACCATGTTCTACAGAGTGCGAAAGGCTGAAACTTGGTACGCGAATAGCTGTTAGACTGGTGACTACAGAAAATAATGCAACTTTGGAAGTACATGCCCTGGGGGCACATTTCGGGGGAGGAGGGGGGGGACTGATTCCGCAGGCATGGGCCTAATACAGGGAGGGACGCTTGGCTCTGATGCCATTCTCATACTCGCAAATCCTTCGACGAAACTGGAAGGAACTGTAATAGCTGTCAGGTTGCGGACTCCAGAGAGAGACCGACTTCGGAGTTGATGCACTCAGGGCACATTTCGGGGGGGAACTCATCGCGTAGGCCTGTGCCTCGGCTCACGCTGATTGCGCTGGCCTGGGCTAATACCACTCTCATACACTTGCTCCCTTCGAGGGAGCGGGAGGGAAAACCAATTGCAGTTGGATTGCATTCTGTGGAGTTAGTTGGCCTTTTAGAGATACGGTGTCCTGAGGGGA